CGTATGAGCATCAAATACGGTCAGCTCATAATTGCTAACCGTTTACATATATACAGGAGTGATAATATGTGACACCGCACCCGAACGTCCTTGAAAAATTCAATTTAAAAAAATTGAATGTCCATGTATTGAATTTCCGATTTCCAAACAATCGTAAAACGATTAATGTTTTACGTAGCGCATAATTGGTTATTGTACTGTTCAACTCGTATATTAGTGTCGGGTTTGCAAATACTTATTTTGGGCCCAACCTGTTAAAAATAGCAGGTATTCAAGAATGACGTCGTAGGCCCACTCGGGGGTGACCCACACGGCTAGCGGTCCACTAATATGAATGACAATGTCAAAATAAGTGATTGAATGATTAGAGATGAATACAAATGCCTATGGTCCCATCTTTGGCATTATTGAGCTAAATAACGGGAGTAGGTTTTTCTTCTAACATCATGTAAATTATTGGGATGATCCTATACATACTAGAGATCAATAATATGATGTAGAAGGTTGAATTATTCTAAATAAATTAGAATGAGTACAAAAATACATCTTATGACAAAAGATAAAACAATATGATCCATCTTCCCATTTTTGGAAGTATTGGTGCATATTTTGGACCCCGAATCAATTGGGATCAATAGGGGTGCGTCCCATACTTATTGGCACCTGCAAGACAAAAGAAAATAAGTGTTAGGAGTAGGGATGGACGAATAAAAACGAAGGGGAGCTGCACAAGACATGAAAGACATCCAAGAGGGGTCACCTAGTCTATTCCCGCACAAAAAGGGTGTGCTGGTTGTCTCCCCCCATTATGGGAGTTTTACTCGTCCAAATAAGGTGAGTAAGGTGTCATTGGATAGCCCTTGAAGTCTAGTTTCATATTTGAGTGGTCTTTGTGAGATAGGGGAGAGTCTACCATACGAAAATCGAGCTGGAGTGAACTGTTGTCTGTAAACTCGAGCAGTGAGAGTACTGAGGCTGTTTGGTTGATATCTCGAGTTACACAAATCCAATTGAGGCTTATAAGATACCAAAAGAAAGACCTCAAGACGAGGAATCCGTGAAGGTCTAGTTTGCATCAATCGGATTAGTGGAAGGCTTCCAAATCGTCCGAGAAAAACACAATCTCGCAGAAACGGATCTACACTTCTAAAGTGAGTTTTAACCCCAATACCTTTCCTTTCATTTTTCCAAATGATATGAACGATTGATGGAGCTATTATACACCACTCCAAGTGTATAATATGTCCTTATAGAGTTAATTTATTGATGTAAAGGTTAGATACTAACCTAGAGCAAATCTTGGAAAACTAGGAAACGAGTTAGCCGGAAAACACCCATTCTAGGGGCTGTTTTCGTATCAACGATTAGGGGTTGAACTAGCACCTTGAGGAGGCTGTTTAACACTCAATTCCAAGCAAGGAATCAGTTCTCAAACCTTCTTGGCCGAGGCTTTGGTCGTTGGAGCAAGAAGGAAGGTTTAATTTTAAAGCTCATTTGAGGTGAGGATCGACATCTAATTGCTTACAACTTGTAGGTTAAGCATGAGATTACCTAAATGCCTAAATCATAATTTTTCATGGATTATGATGATTAAATATTGATGAAATATTGATATAGTTCCCAAAGAATGAAATTGGAAATGATTTGAGGATGTATGGATAATATGAGATTAAATGAGTTATAAATGAACTATTTTGTGAAATAGGGATTTTACTCATGTATTAATATGTGGATACATAAATGGATATTTATGTATTGAAGTTGAATGTTTAAGTTGCTGCTACATACTTATAAATATGTAGAGAATTACAAAATGAGGATATTTGTATGATGACAATAATCTTGATAGTACTGAAATACTAGTTAGTGATTATTTGAAATTGTTGATAGAATTGATCCTAAGTATTGGATTGTATGGAATGCACTTGAATGTACTTCAAGTGTATAAAATGACTTAGTATGAAGCTAAGGGTAAGTTATGGGCAGTCATTAAGAATGACCCAAGGTAGATTATTGAGATGTCAATTCTAGGCATAGGTTTGCTTAGGAATTGGACTATAATGTAGAATTAGAACCGGACTATGATTGCATGGAAATGTAGTTGGGCCGAACCCTTGCCATGTAATTGTGACTTGCATGGAAATGTAGTTTGGCCGAGCCCTTGCCATGTAATTGTGATTTGCATGGAAATGTAGTTGGGCCGAGCCCTTGCCATGTAAATTGTGATTTGCATAGAAACGTAGTTGGCCCGAGCCCTTGCTATGCAAATGTGATAGGATGTACTTGACATAATGGATTGCATAGAAATGTAGTTGGACCGAGCCCTTGCTATGCAATGTAATATAATGAACTTGACATAAAGGATTGCATAGAAATGTAGTTGGGCCGAGCCCTTGCTATGCAATGGTAATGTAATGAACTTTACGAATTGTCGTGGCTTATAGTCACGGGGAATGGGAATGGTGATTTCTAAATGAGCATGGGCCCACGGGCCGACTACTTGACTTTTATATAAAGTAAGTATATTTTCAAACGGGGTAACTTAGGGTTACCACTATATTGTATTATCACCCTATTTGAGGGTCTTGTGTTTGAAATACTTGTTGTATATCCCTTAGATGTCATCCACACCAGTACTTTATAGCCGTATAGAGTACTGACCCCTTCGGGGGCGTCCCACCACCATTTCAGGTTGAGGCTTGAGCTTGCTACCTGTGCCCGTTGCCCGGGTGATCCTTTGGAGAGAAGACGTGGTTCGTGCCTTCTCCATTCTGTTTTTGAACAATATTAAACATGCTCATGGATATTTTACTATAGAGCCTGCGTGCTCATGAATAGCCCTGTGTGGCCCTTTTGTTTCAAACAATGTTTTCCGCTGCGTTATGAATTACTTATTATGTTTGTTTGTGGATGTTATGTGTGTGAATGATATTCAAGACGTCTAGTATAATATGAACGTGTTGGACTGCGGTTGACTATTTGTATTGTACGGCGGGTTGTTGATCGACGTGTCCGGGGAGGTCCGGGGCGTGACATAATATGTAAAATAATATTTAATTAATAATATGGATAAGTGATGATGTATCCATGCATCCGTGCTATGGGTAGCTGCACATGCATGCCATGCATGCTATGCTTAACAGTATTTGTGTTTTTAATAGATTTCTATATGAATCCCAGGACAGAGGCCAATGAACTGGCCTAGTGGCCTTACAAATAGCCAGGTTGTATACTGATTGTCATGATAAAGTTTCATTAAGGAATGATCATCATTCATCATGGTAATGCATCTTCTAAGTGAGTGGTACAACCCAATTTAACTACAAACTCAATATAGTGTAGGTACATATAAATGTCATTTTAGATTTTTAAAATGCATTTCTAGATTTCCACAAAGTGGCACAAAAGAACATATCTTTTTAACTATTTGCGTAACCAATATACAGACTGCACCATACTCTGAATCCATATCATATAAAGCATGTTTGGCTCAGAAACATGAGAGGAATGTTGACGATAGTATTTTACTTATGGAACAACGGTTAAATGGCTAATTGAGCACAAATCGGTTCTGGAAATAGGAAAATCAAAACTAGAAGATGCTCTGAATATTTCTCTCCTATGATTTTCAGATTTATAATTAGAGAAATCATTTCAAACACACAATTTTATGAGTTGGAGCAATCAGTGTACACAAATCAATAAAATGGTTTCCTCGTTGGCAGAATCGAGGAAAGCTATTTGGGTTGAGACGTCGTTGACAATGGCTGTGTTCGGCGTGCCCAATAAGCTAAAAAAGGGTTACATTTGTTTAAATTCAGTCAACTTTAATTTATGTAGCCATGTTTGTTTAATGGTCCAAAAAGGGCTCAAGCTTGAAAATATTGGTTGAAACGTTTAACATGGTAACGTTTAGGTTCAGTCTCCCGTTTTCAGACTTTCTATTCCCATTATATCCCCAATGTCATATACTACGTATAATCTTTCCTTCCAATAATTTTTCTCCATTTCCCGTTATCGCAGGCTTATCGATCTCCAATTATTTTACATTAGCTAGAACTATACACATGGCAGTATGGGTGTACGTCAACTTTCTCTGGCGGTGCTATACTATACTGGAAATTAAATTACTATACTAATGACACATGGAATGACACATGGGAGTAAACTCTCATATTTTTAGTTCTAATCAACGAGGTGTCAACATTCACATTTTTAAATTTAATCAATGAGTTTAAATTATATCATACGAAGAATTTAAATTCAGAAATATTATATGTACACACGCATACATATATTAAAACGCATACATATATTAAAAGGCAGGGCCGTTTTTTAGGGGGTTCAATAGGTTGTCCAGAACAGGGCCCCCGAATTGATGGGGCCCCAAATTTTTAAATTTCTTTTAGTATTATATAGTACGGAGTAATATTATATATTAATACTAATCAGTAAAAACAATTAGTAATGAAGAAAAATAAAGATGCATGATTTTTTCGTTGGTCCTTTTACTTTTTTAATTCTTTTTAATGAGTATATAATTGATTTGAGTATAACTATTTGGATTGATTGTTTTTAAAAAATTATACGGAGTATTAATTTGGGGCCTCGATTTTACATTTAAAACCGGGGCCTCCAAATTCATTAGACGGCCCTGTTAAAAGGATGTAAAAATAAAATCATATTAATAAATACTTTATCTATTAATAAATCATGTGTCTTTTAATGTAATTTCGTATTATTCCAACACTTTTTTAGCTCTTTTTGTCAAACAGGTCTACTCCATATAGCTAACAATCAGAATTCAGCATTTCAATGTTCAGCTCCAGACAATTGTCGATTATTCAGACAATAGTCCCTAATTCCGACATTAGCCTCCAATTCCTGCTCGTTGTGTCAAACATAGTCAATGTTGTGTCTATAAATTGCAATACATTTCTGTAACGGTAAAATAGATATTCGAGATTATTTTGTTTATTCAAATTTAATTATGTAATTTTGTGACCATAAATAGAATCAGCCATGAAAAATAAAATCAATAAAACCAAATACATGAAAAGTAACTAATTGATAAAAACTCGAATCGTTGCATAAATTTAACTAAAAATGTGAATCAATCAATTGAATAATGATAAAAATTTCAATTAATTGAATCAATGAAAGCTAAAGTGGTCAAATTAACATCATTGCCGTGGATTATTGTTGCAAAACGTTGTAATGGTGTGGTCGCAGCGCTGCTTAATCTCTTGGCGTTGGAGCCGGGTTTCTTGGATCCGCTCTTTCAAAATACGGGTCAATTCCTCCAACCCCGTGACCCGGTTCATCCTCAGCGACTCAATCATCCGACCCGCCGCCGCCTCTCCCAATGTTCTGCCTATGCACCGCAGATTCACGGCGCTGTAACATTCTTCCACTTCTTTCTCGTCCGTCGTCAATGGCGACGCCAATAATTTTATCGTCACGCGCTGAGTATCTTCGAGCGCGTGGAGGATCATGTCGCTCTCGAACAACTCGTCTTCGCAGTCATCCAGAGTGGTGTCCGGCTTTGGCGCACTCTTCCTCGCCTTCCTCTTCCTCTTAACCAACTCCCAGCCGCCAGCGGTTGCTCCGGCGGTGTCCTCGTCCGGGTCCGGCCAAGAATCGGCGGTGAACCAGGTGAAGGAAACGTACAGCTCCGGGTTCTGGCTCTTTTGGAACATAGCATCCACCTCTCTGTCCAATTCCTTCACGTCCCGGCGGCCATTGAAGCCGGCTACGGCTCGGAGAAAAGAAGCGTACACGTCATCTCCCGCGAATTCCCGGATTCTGTCCACGAATTCCTTGGCGTCCCGGACCCGGGCGTGGTGGCCCTCCAAATCTTCCGCCGCCTTTCGCTTCCTCGTATTCTTAAATCCGTCGTTTCCGGCGGATGTCGGGGCTCTAGATCTGTCCGGGGATTCCTTGGCGGGCCGGATCCTGGCGTGATGACACTCCAAACAATCAGCCGCCTTTGGGCTCTCCGGAGGATTGAACTGCAAGCGGAAGTGGTTGAATTCCGCCGCCAAGTCGCGGTGGGCGTCAAGGAAGGCGTAGACATTTGAGAGGGCGGTTTCGGCGTCTGTTTTTCCCGCCTTGAAGCCCATCAAAGCTGCGGCGAAAGGTTGGTAGTTTGGGAACCTCTGCTTCACTCTTCTGATGAAGGCCACTGCGGCGGACATCTCTTCCGCGGAATCCATGATCGATCGAGAATTCAACACGTCGTGATAATTTTCTCTGTTTAATTTTTCGAATGAATGAGTGAATGATGATCGATATACATATGCATGACGGCTTAGTTTCCTAATTCTGATTTCTTGCTGACGATAAGATCGTGTGGTACTCAAATACTTGTACTAGTCCTAACATACTACGGAGTATCCTCCTTTAACAACAACAATCGTTTTAATTGGTCTTTTTATCCAATTATCCTTGATGAGTTTAAGAGAGGTAGTTTCCAATCTTCCGTTTACGCTTCTGTTTTTTTCGGTTTCATTTCGGTTTCGATTTATTCGAGTTGGGAGAATTTGTATCAAACTAAAACCATTTGTGTTTTGATTTGATTTCTGTTCGGTTCTATTTGAAGTTCGGTTTACCAAAATAAAAACTACTCCGTATTAGGTTTAAGTTTGTTCAATTTGATTCATTTACTTATTTTTAGTATGATATTATTAGATCAAGTTCTTATATTTTATAATTAGAAAATGAAAGTAGTTGTTCATCTCATCTTCTTTTTTGATTATTTAAATAAAATGTAAACGGAAATAAACTATAGAAAAATAAACAATAAAATATTAGAAATTAAAACTTCTAACACCTTTTTGATCACTAGAATAAGATTCACTTATCACAAAAAAAAATTATAGTTGATTAACATTTATAATACGAAGTATAACATAAAATATTAAAAAAACTTAAAAGAGTCGGTGGTACAAATGTGGTAATATTCACAATTTTATTCAAATGAATCACACACAAAAAATATAAATGCATTCTGCTATGGTTATCACCAAACTTAACATTCACAAATATGTCGTATTATTAGCTAACTTTGTCATAATGAATGTATGAAATGTGTAAAGTTAAAATGGTATGTGTTAAATATGTATTTTTCATATCTAAATTATTTATTTATATATATCTTTAAAATAAAGAGTGGGCATACATTATATATATATATATATATATATATATATATATATATATATATATATTGGTTCAAATAAGAACATGATCTTATGAGAAAAATAAGAATGAATCTGGACGGTTAGATTTGCTTTATGTGAAATTCAATGTGCATGAGATGAAGTTGTAATGTGTATTACGCAAAGTTGAAATGTGCATCACATAGGGTACAATGTAGTGACATTATGTGAAGCTAAATTGTGTATTAGGTGAATTTGAAATGTGCACTAGATAAAACTAAAATATGCAGAATAAAATGTACGATATGATTTTATTCACCTAATGCATATGTGACTTTAAATTTTTATTCTTCACATTTCAATATCATCTAATGTACATTTCGGCTTCACCAAATGCACAATTCAGCTCCACATAATTCAATTCAACTGTCCAGATTCGTTCTCATTTCTCTCCTAAGATCCGTTCTTACCGGAACCGCTCCATGTGTGTGTGTATAAGTTGTTCGGTGTTCGGTTTAAGGTTTTTCGGTTTTAAATCAAACCAAACCATTCGGTTTGAGTAAATTCGTATCTATAAAATCAAACCACCAATTTTCGGTTCGGTTAAACCAAACCATTTTGCCCATCCTTAAGTAAACCTATGCATTTAATATTTTTATCCTTGATGGGTAATTACTATATCTTCTACGACTGGAATTGAAAAAAAAAATTGGCACAATATTGCCACCATTATAAACTAAAATCTAATATCGTCTTTTGGTAATGGCAATCATGCACCTTACTTATAGATGCAAAAATCCATATACCATAATAGGGTTGGGTTAAAAAAAACGAAACTCAAATTAAAATAAATTGAATGGCAACCAAATTGAACTGAAAAAAAAAACTGAAACAGAATGCAAAAAAATCCAAACATAGTTGTTTTGTACTTCGTAAGTTTTTGGCCTTTCAAAATTGAATAAACTGAACAAATTAAAATATACTACTCAGTCCCATATTGGTTATCCACTTTCAATTTGGCAAGATTATTAATAAAGTGGTTGAAAAGTAAAAGTTGAGGTTGAGATTTGAGTAGAATAAAGTGAAATAATAAGAACCACATATTTCTTGCCAAAAAAGGAAACAAGACATTCATTTTGGGACAACTTAAAAAGGAAAGTAGGACAACAAAAATGGGAGTATCATTTTATTTATTGACCCTTGAGCATATTTTCTAATATCATTGCAAGTCTTCTAGTGTTTTAAATTTTGTATTGGGGCATATTAAGAGTTTCTAATTTACGACGATATTATTTTTGGATTTACTTAACTTTACACAATCCATTTAAACTTTGTTGGGTGTCGATTTCTTTCCGGCTCAGGTCTCCAACCCTTTTGCTATACTCTCACACACCACCCTAGGCTAGACCACAACACAACTCCAAGCTTCTTCTCTACCACTAAGGTATTCTCTCTCACACTCTCACACAAAGGAAATATAATGGAGAATAAGGGCTCTGCTCTCTCTAGTTTTTCACGCAGGCTGCACTCTCAAGGAAGAAGAAGAGCTACATAAATAATAGGCTTGCCAACAAGAGGACACTCACGGGTGATGCAAAGACAAGGAAAGACTGCAGCAGACAACTCAAGATGGGGTCACTCCACATAAGGCAATAGCCATATTATTGGTTAGGAAAAGGTGCCAAAGTGGGAGTAAACATGGGGTGCAAGTCAATAATAAAGTGGAAGGGAGACTTTGATAGGACCAATACCTCCAACAAACTTCTATACTCTATAATACCGTTGTTGTTTAGTAGTGACTATTGGAGTTTTTTTCCGTATTAATGCTAATTAATTAAGTATTTACGAAAATAGGGCTGGGTTAAAAGTATTTACGGATATACTGCTGGGCTTAACCCTGGTCGGGGTAAGTCGCCAAACGGTTGGGCGACTTATAAGTCGCCAAACGGTTGGGCGACTTATAAGTCGCCCAACGGTTTGGCGACTTACCCTTAAAAAAAAGGTTAAGATTAAAAAAAAAAGAGGGGCAAAATTGTCTTTTGAGACCCGCTGAATTTTACGACTATCGTGCCCGCAGGTCGCCCACGCAGGGGGTGCAAATTTTCGATTCTGAACTAGAAGCCGAAATTCTTGTGTGCGCGAGAGCTCCCCTCTTCTCATTCACCTTTTAATACTAAGTGAAGAGTGGTTCATATTTATAGGCTCAAAAGTTCCCAAGGAGTTTAGGTGTGGGAAAGTTTAAAAGATTCATTTTTCTCCTACACTTGACAAGAGCATTTTTTCCATTTACCTTCTTTAAGAGCTAGTTTTTGAGCCACTTCAAAGTTCAAAGTTCAAAGTCCAAAACTCCAACACCAAAGGTCAACACTACAATCAAAGCTTCCAAGAGTTAACCTTGAGATTAAAAAAAATCAAGATTAAGACTATTTTTCTCAAACTCCAAGCTACATTCCGTAGTAAAAAAGTATTTCATACCAGTTGGAAACTTCTATTATAAAATACGTAGTACTTATGCAGCATTAATTTTAATTTCACATGGACATGGACTCCACTCATTAAATTTTTTATCCCAAATGATGGTCGCTAAAATTTAAATATTTTGTATTAATTTTTTTACATAACCGTAACATTTTAGTATCTTAATTATCAAATACTGGTATGCAGGCGGGACACCCGTTTTTATCCTAACTTCCTAAGTACTACTACTGAAATTCCGGGCTCGAAGCAGGGGCACGTGCCCCACCTAGCCCCCCCTTAGGTCCTCCACTGCCGTTTGGTAACACTAGAATTGGCTGAATCGACTGTTTTTGCTGATATTTATAATGTTTTGGCTGAAGTGACTGTATTGACTTATTCTGCTTATTTATGAAAAAATTATATATACAATATACTTCTTATTTTATTATTATAATAAAGAAAAAATTATATTAAAATGATCATCTACAGTAACTTCAGCCAATACAGCCACAAAAGTAACTTTAATCTTACTTTTTCTTATTAATACAAAATTCAACGCCCAAAATCACAAGTAACGTGTTTGGTGAAAAGTTGGCTGATAAACTTGATAAGCCGAAAAACAGGCTCACTAAAACTCACTTTTGTGTACACACTTATCATACATTGATTTTTTCTTCAGATTGAGAAACAAATTCCAAAAGTAAGAGATAGGTTAACACGAAGGAAAGAGTCACAAATCTAAAGAGCACATTTTTCTTCACCGGTATCACAAATAATAATGAATCGATTGTTTTAGATTGAAGAGGTAAATTATTACCATTGTACACTACTAATGCAACAAATTTTTATTTCAAATATTTTAGATTAATGTATCCAAATATTATTTGAGATGTTATTTGAAATTAAAACTATTATTAACAAATTTTATAAATAAAATAAAAAAAATGTAAATAATTCACAATATCTATTAATATTTACATATTTAATTCATATTAAAGTGATACTACCGGGGCATTGCCCCGGGGTGTTACACTAGTTTGTGTCATTAAAGTAGACATGATTATTTGTTGACTGTCAGATTTGCTTATCTCAGACTCATCAGAAACCTTAGACGTGAGGCTGATTGAAATTTTCTGCAAATTCCTGGACCTTGAAATGTAGCTTGGAGTTTGAGAAAAATAGTCTTAACCTTGATTTTTTTTTTAATCTCAAGGTTGACTCTTGGAAGCTTTGATTGTAGTGTTGACCTTTGGTGTTGGAGTTTTGGACTTTGAACTTTGAAGTGGCTCAAAAACTAGCTCTTAAAGAAGGTAAATGGAAAAAATGCTCTTGTCAAGTATAGGAGAAAAAAGAATCTTTTAAACTTTCCCACACCTAAACTCCTTGGGAACTTTTGAGGCTATAAGTATAAACCACTCTTCACTTAGTATTAAAAGGTGAATGAGAAGAGGGGAGCTCTCGCGCACACAAGAATTTCGGCTTCTAGTTCAGAATCGAAAATTTGCACCCCCCCTGCGCGGGCGACCTGCGGGCACGATAGTCGTAAAATTCAGCGGGTCTCAAAAGACAATTTTGCCCCTCTTTTTTTTTTAATCTTAACCCGGTTTTGCCTTTTTTTTAAATCTTAACCCGATTTTGCTTTTTTTTTTAATCTTAACCCGGATTTTTTTTAAGGGTAAGTATCTTAACCGTTTGGCGACTTATCCCGACCAGGGTTAAGCCCAGCAGTATATCCGTAAATACTTTTAACTCAGCCCTATTTTCGTAAATACTTAATTAATTAGCATTAATACGGAAAAA